CTCTCTCTCTCTCTAAGAACTTATTTTCCCTAAACCAGGACCAACAAAAAAAAATCCCAAGAACTCTGAGGTTGAGAAGTAGGGGGGGATTAGAGAGCTGGAACACTACAAAATAATCTACCCCTACTTACTAGGGGACCACCATCTGTTTGGAGAAGATTCAAGGCCTTTGTGGCAGAGCTCACAGGTGCACACAGAAGCTCAACAGGGAAAAGGGTAGCCCACGAAGCAGCACAAAGCAGAGACCCACCCCTATGGGTGATGCAACGCCCGGGATGCTGTTAGCCTCTGGGTCCCAATTGGCCGGCTCACGGCAGCCGCAACGTGGATTGGCTGAGGGCAGGGGCGGAGCCAGTGAGTGCCGCGTGGCTGGCGCTGCTGCAGACCTGAGAGCTACACCTGGGTATCTTGGATGGGGTCAGACTGGGGATTCTGGGGTGGAAGGTCCGGGGCCTGGATCTCTGGGACTGGAGGTTTGGATATGGGATATCCGGGAGCTGGGTCTGAGCTAGCCCTTTTTCCATTCCTAGTCGGTAGTACTGCGGGTTCCCGTCCTTTTTCTGAGAGGCGGGAACCTCGCAGCCAGACGGAGAATCTGGCATTTGGTCGGGGTGCCCAGGATGGGCAGCAGCGGGAGGGTTGGGCTGGTCGGGACAAACGTGCTCACCTAATTTTCTGATGTCCATCTTGCTGACCTTGCCCCTCAGCTGACCCTTACAGAGAGAGTCGTTGCCAACTGTGAGGGCCGTGGGCGTGGGGCCTGCAGACATCATGAGCGTGGGCTTCATCGGGGCTGGCCAGCTGGCCTTTGCCCTGGCCAAGGGCTTCACAGCAGCAGGTAGACCTTGGACTGGAGAAAGCGGGTCGAGAGAGATTTAGCCCCTTTACCCTTGTGGGGGGCTGCCTGTGGAGGTGGGTGGGTGTGTGGGTAATATGGCACTGAAATGGGAAAAAGCGGTTCCCTTATCTTAGGTGTTGGTGAATTTCATAGGGGGAATTTCTTTTCAATGTTTTTCCTGGCAATATGGGGGAGGCTAGACACGGCCTTGAAGGAGAAACTCTGCCCTCCCAGGTGTCCTGGCCGCTCACAAGATAATGGCCAGCTCCCCAGACATGGACCTGGCCACAGTTTCTGCCCTCAGGGTAGGTGCTGGGTGAAGGGGTAGATAGAAGACTGGGTCCCTACAGCATGTGTTCAGAGTTGGGCATGTGACAGGCCTGATAGTGAGTGAAGAGGGCTGTGCTGTAGTCCCCCAGTGAGAAGAATGACCTTACCTCTCAATCCTGCCACTAGCTCCCATTGCTGGCCATGTGTACAGCTGGTGAAAGAGGGTGCTTGTGGGGCATAGGTTTTGTGGATGAGGTTAAAGATTGAACAGGGGGGCCAGGGAGATGGCTCAGTGGAATAAGTGCTTCCCTGGCAAACGCAAGGGCCTGAGTTCAATCCCTGGTTCCACCAAAAAAAAAAAAAAAAAAAATTGAACAGGGGTCAGGCAGAAGGTCCTCCTTTGGGGGGCCAGATAAGACTTGCCTGAGGGCTGAATACATTTAGTTTGCCAGCACTGAGTTAGGATTTCAGAGCCAAGGAGTGGGTGCTCTCCACTTGAGACCACCTGAGCTGAGGGCCATGGAACTCTGGAGGCTGTAGCCTGATGTAGCCAGGCTGTAGGTAGGGCTGAGGCTTGGACAAAATGCCTCCCTTTTGGTCTGCAAAAAGGACACACACAGAGCAGATTGCCTCCTCTATTTCTGTATGGAAAGGGTGGCTGAGGGGCTCCAGGCCCCATCTCCTTAGCCCACAGTCTAGCAACATCTGGCTATTCTACATGTGGGGCTTGCAGGAGGGAGGGCAGGTTCTGTGTGGCTAGACAGCCTCTGAGGCAGGCTGAACTACTTTGCACACTTGTAGAAGATAGGGGTGAACCTGACACCCCACAACAAGGAGACAGTTCAACATAGCGATGTGCTCTTCCTGGCCGTGAAACCACACATCATCCCCTTCATCCTGGATGAGATTGGCGCTCACATCAACGACAGGCACCTTGTGGTGTCCTGTGCAGCTGGTGTCACTATCAACTCCATTGAGAAGGTGGGTGCTTCCAGGCCAGAAGAGCCTGGAAAGGGGGTGGAGACACAGGGTCCAGAGCTGTGCTCCCCACTGATGGGCTCGCTACCAAATGGGGTGTGACATCCTAGGCCACAGTGGGAACTCAGGTTGGAGGTGTGGATCTGTTTCCATACCCATCTGGGCCAAAGGCAGATGGCCACGGCCAGGGTGGTCACAGTCAATTTCTCCTCCAGAAGCTGACAGCATATCGAGCAGCCCCCAAGGTCATCCGCTGTATGACCAACACCCCGGTTGTTGTGCGGGAGGGGGTCACCGTATATGCCACAGGCACCCATGCCCAGGAGGAGGATGCCAGGCTCCTGGAACAACTGCTGAGCAGTGTGGGCTTCTGTACAGAGGTTGAGGAAGACCTGATTGATGCTGTTACGGGGCTCAGCGGCAGTGGCCCTGCCTATGTGAGACTGGGAGTGGCAATGGGGAGGTGGGCAGTTCCCAGGGCCTCAGGACAACTCTGTCCCTGGTCCCCTTCCAGGGCTTGGGGTGGGGGGCTCTAAGTCTCTAGGAACTGGTGCTTTACCCTGTTCCACACTACTTCCTGCTCTGGACCCAAGAGGAGAAGCCAGAGAGGCTCAGATAGTGGCTCAGGGTGCCTTCTTCTGACAGGCGTTCACAGCGCTGGATGCCCTGGCTGATGGTGGTGTGAAGATGGGACTTCCAAGGCGCCTAGCAGTGCGCCTGGGGGCTCAGGCCCTTCTGGTCAGTGTCTCCTGATCCTCTGGTGGGGGCTGCTCCTTGATAACTATGGAAGTAGGCAGGGGGGGTGGGGTAGGAAGTCAGCAGGAGCACCTACAGAGCCATGTGGATACCCCACTGCTCTCAGCCCCTTTTTCTGGCTATAGGGAGCTGCCAAGATGTTACTGGACTCAGAGGAGCACCCAGGCCAGCTGAAGGACAATGTCTGCTCTCCTGGTGGGGCCACTATCCATGCACTGCACGTACTGGAAAGTGGGGGCTTCCGCTCCCTGCTCATCAACGCTGTGGAGGCCTCTTGCACCCGCACACGGTGCGCCCTGCTGCCCGATCCCCTCTGTATGCTGCATGCAGCAGAACCTGGGCCCAAAAGTGGCTACTCAGATATTTACTGAGCTTTATCCTTGCCTTGGCCAAAACACAAGGAACCCCAAGCTTACTGGGGTCACAGTGCATAGTCCCTCACCTCTTTCCAGTCTTGTGAGGGTGCAGGGTCACATGTGGCTGAAGGCCATCTCTAGCCCTGCACTATAGTAGCACCCCCTTGGCTGCCAGGCCAGCACCTGGGGACTAGGGGCTGCTCTCAGTGCCTTCCTCATGGCCTTGCTAGAAATAAAAGAGTTAGGTAAGCAGGACACAGGGTAGTGTCCTGGCACAGGGAGTCCCTCCTGAGAGTCAGAAGCAAACTAGCTGGGGAATCCTGCATGTCAAATCCTGTCCCAAGTGTGCAGAGTGCCACCATGCCTGCCCTCTAGTGCAGATACCCACAGATAGACTTCTGAGTGCCACCCATGACCTCAAGGCTTAGATGCCGGGCCTGGCCTCCCAGCACTGCTCATAGGAGAACGGAAAGGCAGAGACATCCTCGTTAGAACAAAGCTCAGAGTCTGGTGATGCCATAGGTAGTCATAGTGACTCCTGAGTCTGTTTGAATGGGGTGAGCAGGAGCTTTGTAGCTGTGTGGGGCAGGGTGTGGCTAGCAGAGGGTCCTGCAGATAGGGGTGACAAGCACAACACTGCCTTAGCCTGGCAAGTATGAGCTGGTGGTACTGTGGGCTCTGGAAGGAGATAGAGTCCTGGCCCACTTACTCACTCTGCAGGGAGCTACAGGCCATGGCTGACCAGGAGACAGTCTCACCCGCCGCCATCAAGAAGACCATCCTGGACAAGGTTAAGCTGGATTCCACTGGAGGAACCTCCCTGTCTTCAGGCCATGCCAAGCTGTCAGCCCACACCCTGGCCCCAGCAGGGCAGGATTGACCCTCCTGGCTGCCTGCTTCTTCTCTTCACTTTTCTTGCTTTCTTTCTAAGATGCTGTCATACCATGTCACCCAACTTCTGGGCTCAGTGGTCTTCCTGCTCAGGCTCCTCGGTGCTAGGACTACAGCTGTGTGCCACCACACCTGGCTGTGCTCTCTGCCTTCTCTCTCGGCTCAAGGTATCTCTTCTCTTAGCCCAGGGCCACACACAGCTGAGGCTGAAGTCAGGGAGAGGCACATGACATACCCTGGGGACCTTTATAGTCCCTGAGTGTAAGCCCAATCAATCTAGGGTTGGCTTCTTGGGCCTCCTTTTCCTCCAGCTTCCCCTGGAGCGAAGGCCTGCAGAAGGGCCTTCCCCACCTCTAGTGTCAGCTGGCTTGGGCTGTATTTCTTCCTGAGAACAAATGTGAAGGTATCCGCCACATACCAGAGGCACCTTCCCTAGTGAGGACCAGTGGGCCCCAGGAGCCCAAGCACAATGCTGGGAGTCCAGGTACCATGACCCCAGGGGATATTTGGAAAAAGGGCTCATTTCCACACTTAAGTACTCAGGCCACTGGCTGTTGTTCCTATCACATCTTTCTGGACTCTTTAGGTTGAATAAATTGGTTTCTGAAAGCTCCCAGTGCCCTGACTTCTAACCATTGGCCCCACATGGAGGGTGGCCGTCAGCTGTGCAGGGGGGTCACACAGAGAGCTGAGTCTAGGAGTCCTATTGGTAGCTGAGCTGAGTGGCCCAGAAAGCAGAGGGCTGGGCAGCTTTCCAGCTCAGGCACTCCAGACCTGGGCAGAAGCTGGTACTATAGGCAGGGCTTGGCACACCCCACAGGAGGGAGGGGCATAACCTCTGTGCTCTCCAGTCCTCCCAGTTTACCAGGGCTAATGTGTTAACAGTTGTTGAGGATGGCCAGGGCCAGGGTCCTGAGGAAGAAAGCACCCTTGAGCATTCTCTCAAGAAACAGAACCAAAGGGACCCAGCAGAAGCAAGATTAGGAAGCATGGGCCCATGGGATGATAGTAACTGGCCGATCCTACCAGTGGGCTGGGTTAGCAGGTTAGGGACACTGACCAAGGAGGCGGGGAAGTAACACTGTAGACAGGGTCTGATAGTCTCTTGTTTTGAATAATCTACCCCTACTTTGGGGAGAGCCAAGTTTTTGGTTCTGCTCTGCCCTCCAGCTGATTTGATGAGGCCTACTTACACTAGAGAGGGAAAACTGCTCTACTAATTAAAATGGTACTCTGGGGGACGGGGAGATAGCTCAGTGGAATAAGCACTTGGCAAGCGCAAGGGCCTGAGTTCAATCCCTGGTTCCACAAAAAAACCTAAAAATAAAATAAAATGGTACTCTACCAGGGCATGGTGGTACATACCTATACTCTCAGCACTCTGGGAGGTTGAGGCAGGAGGATTGCAAGTTTTAGTTCAGCCTGGACAAGTTAGTGAGACTATCTCAAAAAAAAAAATTTAAAGGATGGAGATGTGGGTGGGGATTTTTTTCTTTTTTTAAAAATTTCAGTTTGTGTGTGTGTGTGTGTGTGTGTGTGTGTGTGTGGCCAGCTCAGCCCACCAGGAGGCGGGGCTGGCTGGCATGTGGTGCTGGGGGATTGAACC